AAAAAAAAAAAAATAATAATAATAATTGAAAGTTGACTAAAGAAATAACCAACCTTAGCCACTGCCATACACGGAACGCTAAGCAAACGACCGACTGGTGTGCAAATAAAGACACCGAGCACCGACAACAACCCAAATACGATACCAAAGACAATTGCAAGCGGAATTGCAATTAGGGAAGCAACAATCTTGTATACAGCATTACTGGTAAAGCCAAATACTCGATTGGCGCCAAGCCAGGTCCAATTCCATGAATGACATGCATCCGGTTCAGCGAACACCTCGCCAAAGTCCATGACAATATGGTCATTCAGGTCCCCCTCATCACGATCGAGTAAATTGACACCAACGGTCATCGGTGACTGTGTGGCGTCTTTAGTGGCACCGTCCAGTATGCTTTTCTCTTTACGATGCCACCATTTACAAGGCGATTTTTTTCCCTCACTAACAAGTTCACCATTATTTGTTGTTACATCACCTTTCTTCTATAAAACAAGTCAGCTACAAAAAAAGCAAGAAAATTTTTAAACAACCCATACAGTAGTGTACTGCATCTGCACATTTCACAGATATTTGATTCATATAGGATTTTAGAGGACAAAAGGGATGGCAAGGTAAATAGAAGAGAAAACGAAACAATAAAAAAAGAATTTTGTACAACAGTTTTGGATAGAGGAACAAATTTTAAAGAATCCAATTACAGCAAAAACCCTTTTAATAAACAGTCTTAGGTATTCAAAAAGACTAGGTTAAAATTAAAAAAAGAACGATAATAATAAGTTTCATTCTTCAATTTGATGCTTTTAGGTGTTTTCATTGCTAATCTGTCACTTTTTCATTAATTTTTCTAAGCGGTTATAAAGACAATTTATTAATATTAATATATTTCTACAGGTAAAATTAAGAGATTTGAATATAACAAAGAAGTATGAATAGAAAGTCAGACCGATCTGAAGAACCATCTGTAAGTTGTCTTCTTTTTGGCTGGTTCAGTAATTTCTTTCTCCGTAACTCCATCATCGATCATTGGTGGTGCATCGACATCAGACTTCAGTGGTACCTGTTCCAGTTCCACTTTTTCTTGAGTAGTCATTTTTCGCTGGGCCTTTGGAAGCCAACCAGTAGTCAATCACTGAACAAGGTAATGAACGCAAAGTCTCTTGGTCAATTTAAGGCAACAACGCAACCGAATGAGCAGATCTACAGTGTGCAGAAAATGTTTAGCGTTCAACATTTCCCCCTCATTTTCTCCCTCCCTCTCTTCCTTCCCTCCCTCTTTTCACTTTTTTCCAGCTTTCTATCCCACCCTCTTCATGCGCTAATAAAGGTCGCTTAATTTTGTGTCGCACAATGACAGAAATTGGCGAAAGTGAAGAGAAATAGTGGTTGAGGGAAGAGAACGAAAGAAGAGATGCAAAAATAGTGATTCTCATAGTAAACGAGCAGCGATGGTAAGGAAAGCATATTGCAGCAACGTCAACCTCATCCACGCACATCTCTGTCGCCGCCCTTTTTCTTTTCAGTGGGTTAATCTATCCCTGCCTGTGTGGCAAAAAATTTCTTTAAAAGTTATTTCATTTTTTTTATACTTTGTAATCAGTAAAAACTATCTGCCAAAAGAAGCCATTTGATAGATGTTTTTAGCAATTGAAATACAAAGGAGGAATATGTTGAAAAATATTGCAGATAATCTGTAAGCACCAAAAAACTGGTGAGACGACAAGTTTTCAACCTCTTTGGGCTATCAACTTTAGAACTGACTTCAGATTAATGCATAATTTGAATGTATATGATTTATGAGGCGGTCCAATAAAACAAATTCACAGGATTTTGATTCCACTTATGGTCACATATTGATTCGACAAAAGTGTCATAATATCATATATCATATTATGGATACGTTGCAGCTCCAGCTGTAAGGTCCTCAGTATTCATTTGTCTGTTATAATATGTTAATATATAATGCCAATGTCAATCAACTGGAAAAAGCTAAATTAATTTATTCACCAGTTCAATCATAGCGGCGAAAAAACACAGACGGTCTCATATATATATTTCTCTTTTTTTTTTACTTTTTTATTTTTTCACTTTTTTTCGATCTAACGAGTAACAGTCGAAAACGACTGGCA